ATCGAATAAAAAACATCGATCTCCATTTTCGTTAGTGTTCATTTTAACGTCGAATTTCCTTTAAAATTCCTATTTTTAGCCACATCACCGGGCTGATTTGCAATTTGTCTCCTAAGCCATTTTGATAATGCCAGAAAGACGAAACCCATTACAACAAAAAAAACCTCTTACCATAAACAGTTTTCCGCCTTGTTTCGCATTTTCTTAGAAGAAAAGACGTCTTCCATCATCATACCACTGAGACGCTTACATTTCTAGGTAAATATGTTATACCAGGATTGCTTTGATATGTACAAGTAACCTTACATGTAAATTATTATTCATTCATAACTATATTTTTTACATAAACATTACACAAATTCGTACGCAATATGACTTATGGATGCTACAAAGACAATTTCCATTAGTGTATAATTAACGGAAAAAGAAAGGTTGATTGTGTGGAATTGCTTTCTCACTCTAACCACCGTTATTTTATCAATATTTCTTTGTTCAATTCATAGAAATGCACTTACCCGTATTGCAAACAGTACAATCGGTTATACAAATTCCTTTATAAAAATTTCTACTTTTACTGGAACTGCATAGGATAAATTATTGTGCGTGTGATAATTAAGTTAATATTATATCGAATAAGTAAAAGGGCATGCACGCTTCGAATAATTCGTGTTAGTCCGTTTGTTGCATGACTTTTCGTAGAATTTTCTAATTAAATCCAGCTCTAATTAGGTGTAAATAAATTAATAGTGCTTGACTTACCTATTAATTGGTCTGAGAAGATCGCTTTTCAAACTTTTCACCGCACTATGCGAACCGGATAACTAGAACAACGAGACGGAAATCGAATTTCGCGATAATAGAAATGTAGTTTTTATGCATAAATATCGTCAAATTTCGCGATAATAAAGAGATTTTACTGTTTATATGCATAAATATCAATTTAATCGAATGAATTTGGTTAGAAACACACGAATATAATTTTAATCTGACACCTGTCAAAGAAACTAAGCACCTACTCCGATTGTGATTAGATGTTTCACTCCATGAACCAATTGGAACTTACCTGGACTTTTAATCTAGATATCATGCGCTGTTCTAAGAACACAAAGTGACATTGACAGTAGCTATCAAAATGATACTAATAGACACGGTCGCATATAACAAGTCAGGAAAGTCTTGTGGATTAGGTGGAAGTGTCACACAGGCTGCAAGAAATTCAATATTAACCTTATCTGACAGTAGCGTTCAAAGTGGATTCCTCATGAACCCTCGACCCAAAGTCACAATAAGTGCAACACTCCCACTACCAAAAAATACATTGAGTTTCCTGACCTGTATGTAAGACCGTGCTAATAGAAATGCAATGATTATCTGATAATAAATGGAACACAATCACATTGACAGTAAATGTCAATACGATACTAATAAATAAATAAATAGAATAAGAAATAAAGCAAATCATGTAACATAATAAATTATAGGTTTGTTCCTACAAAAAGTCACTGATTTGTTACCAATAAGTTTCTGACTCTTCTATTTCGCATGCGCGGTTTATGATTGAATGGTGTAATCAAATTTCCGATTTCTTGATGGAACAGTCTTTACATTTATTACATATTCACCAAGTCTCAAACAAAAACAACAAGCAACATAACCTAATAATTAACCTATATTCAGAAATACAAATTAAACCCAAATTGAAAATGCGCTTGCGCCGGATTCTAAATCTCTGTACTATCAGCAAATTTTTCTGACTATCACAAAACCAGTCCCTTGAACTGTTGGAACAATAAATTGTTAACCAAGTCAGAATCAGAGATGTCTGTGGAGTTTGTTGGAACGCCTAAATTATTACTGCGCAGACTCCTGACGATCACCGACTATTTCTGACTGTTGTAGGAACAAACCTTATACAAAGTGTTTCCTTCGGATTTCAGTTAATTATGACAAAAACATCAATGCATTGCAATTAATGCGATGTTGACATATCTATTTTTTGTCTCCTTTAACTGTTACTTTTATCGTAGCATAAAAACAAGACTTAAATTAAGTTTTTGTACAAACTTTGGCGCTAAATCGTATTTTGTAAGCAGTAAATCATCGGCGATCTCGTTTATTTCCAGGTTCTTGAACTGCTCGTGGCGGCGATATGTGGGTATAAATTTTCTCCTGCTATCCGCGCAGGTTTTCTTCACAAATAACGCAATTATTATATTTTTAATTTCTGTTCATTAAAAAAACGATGGTGGATATAATTTAATACGGACAAGTTGTAGGCACATACACGAACCGGTTGCGTAAAGGATATCATCAAAATTTTCGCAACGATTAATGAAATGTGAAAAAAAAACCGTGAACGATATTATGCAAGAAGCCATCTAAGCTTTCTTATGTGTGTGTATAAACACCGCGTTTGTCTGGACTGCGCCTACATTAAAAACGAATTTGGTTTTAAAAGTGGTTATTGATTGGCCATATGTCAAAACTATTCCGAAAAATTTGATGTATCATTTCGCAATGAATTATTCAATTAAAAATGAGGAAAAAAATCTTAATATTCTTCTTAAAGTGAGTAATTAAGCCGGGGCAATTTGATTATAACGATTGGGTAATTAGAATATTTTCTTTCTGCGATAATTCCGTTTCTTGTGCATGGATGTTTCGTGATAATAGGTGATTAAATTCTCTGGCTGTTTGCACGTCCATCAGAAAACTCGCTATTGCATGAATGAATAATTTTGTAACTAGTAGTTAATTGAGGGTATAATGACTTCAGTGGGCTAATTTCGTATAGTTTTAAGGGGAAAAAATCGGATTGACGACTAGATTAGATATGGCTTTCTAATGTTTACGTTGAGGTCAGTATCACTGTTATAATTTAACATTAAAAACTTTAATTTGCGAAATAACTGTAGGCCGTGTTTAAAATAAAATATCGTTGTCATCCGAAATGAAAGACTTTCACTTCGGCATTTTCACCAAGAGAGATACGATTTTATTTATTCGTTTCTCGGTCGCATTTTTGCCGGGTATTCTCGTCATTTACGAATTCTTTCACTTTTTTCTACCCATTACATATGCTATAATTCCAACTTATTAACTGTCCAATTATCCAATTTTCATGCAAAACTAAGCCGTGATAATAATTAATTACAAGTACCACCATAATGCATCGAATTCCACAAGTGAAATAATATAATAACCGCGACATTATGTAACGTATCGTACTCGATTATTAAAGTAATTGCAAACTCGCGGGCTGATAAACAGCTCATTTCGCGCTAATGTTAATGGACTTTTTCCATCCTCTTTGCCAACCATCCCGCAGTCTATCGATTTAGCAACGTTCCCCTTCGCATATATCGGATAAAAAACAGACAATCGAAAACATTGACAACCCTTAAGTGTCGCCAACCGACACGCGAACGTCATCAACACACCTTTACGTCACCGTATATTATAGATGGATTCGCACGCCCAAGAACGATTAGCACAATCGATTATCGAAGCGTTGACTAGCCATCGAGTATAATAATAGGTGCGACTCGGAAACGACATAAATACAAAGTAAAGCAAAAAGAAACGAGAAAGTGGTCGATTTTTTTCGACTTACACCAACGTCTGGGATGGATGTGTGCGATTGTGTAGATCGGGATTATCACTTTCATTGTCCTTGAACTACCGATGCCGGACGGATTAAAACAGAGCCGGATTTTACATATTCCCCGCCCGGAGCGAGACACTTAAGTGATAAATGTAATCTGAAGATGCTGCACATTTGTTGAGGAATATGACTTAACGAAGAGTGGAAAATAGTGGAATAAATGCACTGGAAATTTCTATAAAAATTTGAAATACGTTCCTGCTGGTGATCGCCGCCAAACGAAAGTGAAATTTTCAAAATATAGCGGTGTGTTGTTTTCTCACGGCAAGCTGTATTAGTGGAACGATTTTCGGGTGCACTGACCAGCGCTGCGGTCCACCGCAAAATCATCAATCCTTCCAGCAAATTTATTTACCTATACTAAATTACCAGCGTTACGGTTTACAAGTCATAAAATATACATCCCGTATTAATTAACGCTTGTAAAATAACACTATAAGTAAAATTCGTAGTTTGAAAAATGTTTATGTTCAATCGAAACTAATCCTTTCGGACTTTCTCTTGCAGAAATCGAATTTAATAGCCTTCGCTAATCAGATTAAGGAAAAAGAAGTGAATAAAACCTCGAATCTGTAATCAACGCGCGAATCACTATCATCAAACCTCCAATATATCAATTACATTCAACAATTCGTTTTATAATACTTCTTCGTTACCCAACCAGTACCTTCTCGAGCCGACCAAATTATTAACTACAGTCGTAAATCTAAGTCCTCTTTTCGACGGTGTTGCAGAAATTATGCATCGATTCGGCGGCCCGAAAGATGCATTTACCAATATTCGCAGACATCGAGGACATCGCGGACTCGCCGTCCTTCTTCAACACCAGCCAAACACGCCGACCTCTCCCTCTGTCTCTTACACATACGCGGAAATGTATGCGCACCTGGAGAGTTGACCTATGACTTATGATTACGTATCATCGATAAAAAAAATCGATTCGTTTTCACCAATAAGTATTATATTTAAATCCAAACGTTGCGTTTATAATTCCTTTGTTCATGTGCGAGCTCTTTGCGTGGAAATTTCTTTATCGTTAAGCAGCTTTTTAAGCTTATCCAGCAGCTTTGGACGATGCATTCGAATCTCTTTTCCTAACAGTAACAATGAACTTAACGATGCGTTGATTAATTACCCGCGCGAGCGTCAGAGCGAGAAAACTCTTCGTACGGTGCTACTTGTAACGACCATTAACATTTAATGTGTTATTGGCAAAACAAGTAATTGTGACAGCAATAAGCAATAGTAAAATAACAGAGCAAAGTGGGGGCCTTATGCTCGAAAGTATACAATCGCCGGTTCTTGTACGTTTCCAACATACGCGAAAAGGTAGTGAAAGACGTCGAAGGTGAGAACGCACACGAATCGAACTTTGAAAGTGAGCTCTGGTAGTTTTTTTTATTCTACTCCAAGTGGCCAGCAGGAATCGGAACCGAAAATAAGATGAGCGGCAGTCGGGCCGTTTTCCTGGTTATTGGAATTTCGCTTTGTCTCGTTGGTAAGCGACAGTTTTATCTATAGTGGAATTAAGTGAAAATTTTTCACACTCCAGCGGATTGGTGTAGCTGCAAAAATCCGAAGGGAAATCCTCTATGCCGTTGCTTATGACCTTCATATCATCTGAATAAGAGCGTGAGATTAATATCAGTCGTGTTACGCTGCTGCAAATGTACATTTACCTATTTATTTATTTAGCGAAATGAATAACCTTCAAAGGTAATAGAGTCGACTATTCAAAAGCTCTTCTTTGTATCTTCAATCTTCAACTCACTCAAAATTTAATATTTAGCTTTTTTAATTTAAGTGGTTAGTAATTATGTTTAATCAATCAATGCACGAGGTTAAAATTCGCTTAGGTATACTAAAAACCTTATAGTGCCAAGGTAAACAAAAATTATAGCCGAAATTAATTTTTTATGCAACTGTACAGCTTGCAATTAAATGCAATTTCCAATTACTTATACGTGCAAACTGTTCCATTATATAAATGTACACAGTAATTAATTAACAACCATCGGAGTTTGTTTAACGATTATCGATTTGCAAGAGGATTTATAGTTGTTTTCAGTACTTACCTCGCTTTACAGCTAGAATATAATTCAAATAGACCGTAATAAATTTACATTTTAATAGAAATAATGCATTTTAATCAACTCCTGCAATATTTATAACACGCATTCTCATGCAATATCTTTCTGCAAAACTTCCCTCGCCAACAACTTCCAATGAAAAATTTATCGATATGAACAATTAGGAAACCATTTGGAATGCTCAAAACTAATGTAACTCTCAGCATCTATTGTAATATTTTCAATTGGCGCCTACGATTCCTCGCCTTGCATTGTGTCTATTATCGAGAAAACGTAGGAGGCATTTCGAGCATTTGAAGAAAAAAATCCAACACAATACTCGAACTCGATTTGTAAATTGCAAATTACGAAATTAGGTAAGTACCTAACCTACTATTCAGACTTCGCTTAAGTACCAATATCTCGAGGAATAAGTTTGTATTCTTTTAATTTTCGTTGTTAAATAATGTTTGTTATTTATTATGTATTTGTTAAAGCGAGAATCAACTTTCAAAGATGTCTCGTTACGGCGAGGAGACCTCATATGGAGGGATGTCACAGCTGTGTAAATTGCCGCACGATTTTATGAAGTTGGTTCGATAACCGCTATGAAACTGTTCAGGTGCTCGACTAGACGAATTTCTAAGAGAACATTAAAAAGAACGGTTTTTGACGTGAAAGCGCGGATTTCGAACGCGCTCGTTTAATGGCCGGTGATTAAAAACTAGGCATTGTCATTTTCTAAAATCCCGATGAAATAATATGTGGAAAAAACGCCGCGGCAAAACAAAAACGAGGCAACGCGTTCAAATGGATTTTTAATTGAATTCGAATTCACGAAAATATCGAAACAACAAATTTCCAAAGCGCTTATTTACCCACAAATCTCCGCGCGTTTTATAACAGAAAAACAAACAAAACCCGCCATTCTAAAAATTACATTCGAATTGAACTTTTAAAGTAGGTAAACATGCCCGCTATGATGTCATATTTATACACTAAGTAATTACATTAATTTACTTTAATAGCTTCCAAGTGGTCTTTAATTGTTTAGAAATAACTATGGTTGCGTTACATTACCGGTCGATAATACGAATAAAAAAAGAGAAATAATCAACCTTCGTGTAAGTTTACGCAGATGGCGGGCATTAAATAACTCGGCTGAAAAACGAGGTTGCTGAACTATAAAATAAGTCCACATTCTTAAAACGTATTTCAATCGAAGATGCAAGAATGGTATAAAATTTTATAACCTTTCAGCAACTTCACGTCCGTGGAAACTTCGCGATCCACCTCTTCCGAGACGGATCTCGCACGAATTAAAAAAAAGCGACCGTCGGGGAAAACTTGTATAATTCTCGAATTCGCCGGCGAAAAGTCGAATTCTAACCCGTTTGCTCTCTTGTTCGCAGGCGATGGAGACGGAGCGCCCTACCTGGGCAAGCTCGTGGGGAAACTTTCCGAGTTGCATCACGGCGTTTCTGGCGAAGTTTATGCAGTCGACGCGAGGACATTATACATCAAGGATTTCACTTACGACGGCCAAGGACCTGGTAAGAACTTTCAGATTGATATACTCGAATTGCTGGTCGTTTCTATGCCACAGAACTCGCCGGATACACCACCAATAAATTTTATCACGATACAACCCTCACCAAAAATAACAAAAAAATCTTTATTTATCCTCAAATTTGCACATTTGGCAACTACCCTTTTCAACAAAGTGCTGTTTTATTCAGTAAAAGCTAAACTTTTTTAATATATTTACATATTTATTTAATTAACAAATTTACTGGGTTTTCTGATCCTTTTCCGCGTCGGCAATAAACTTGAAACGCGTGCGATTGATTTACGCGTCCGAATGAAAAAACATAGATGGAATTTTTATGCTAAAATTGTCGATAAATTATTCTCCATTGACTTCTCACTGCGCCAATTTCGGCCGGGCGAAAGGCGAAAAAAATGTTAATGGCGCGAAAAATTCCTCGGAGATATTTTCACATGAAATTGAGGTGAAAATAACCACCGACGGCGAAATAAGATTTGACAGACGTCTAATAAATTATGTAAACGTTTCCTCTAGGGTATTAAGTAATTGTTAGTAGGGCCTAATAATCCGATTAAGTTTGGGTTCCCGTCCCTTTTTTTGTTCTCCCGAGGCTTTAGAAAAAAAAATACATCACAACATTTTTTTATGTAAAACACAACGCCACCTACGCTATTTTTTGTTGTAATTTTATTTCGTCACTAAATTATCACTCGAAGATAAAACAACCATCAAATAGAATCAACTGCTACATCGCAACTAATACCTTGTAAGTTTATTCGCGAATGCCGGCGCTTTATATAAAATAATAAACGTAAAAAGTCATGGTGGAGTTCTTACGGAGCGCCGTCGTGAAGATTATTAGCGAGATATATCTTTTATACGCCCATCTCATTTACTCGGCGTTGCCTTTACGGCGCAACTTTTATAATGACATTTTTTACTCCGCTCTCCCGCACAAAGGAAAAGTTTTTATGACCTAATTCGAACCGAGTGGGTTCGCAAACTTAAAAATTATCCGGAACCCATACAGGGCGAACGCCAAATTATCGCCCGGATCGATTTTCGCGAATTGGAAACCGAAGGAGCGCGAATAAAACTCTCTCAACCATTTCGCTTCGTCGAATTTTCCGCTCGTTGACTCCCGAATTTGGGTAAAACATCTCGAATGAAACTACCCGTCGAGTTTTCTCCCGTCGAAATGAGCACACTTACAAGAAAATCGACTGGAAGGGAGCGACGTTCGGATTGCACTAAGCGTCGATTTTAATCTTAATTTCGGAAAAATTCCCCTGTACACAAAACCTTCTCGGGGGCGCTCCGGAACCGATTCTAATCGAGTTTTTCTTTCACTTCTTTCGCTCTTCCAGCCGCGTACTTTTACGCCAGCACGCTCAAAGGGGCCGACAAAAACGGCTTCCGGCTGAGAGACGAAACAGGAAGCGGCGAAGTAATCAGGAGGTACAGGAGAGAAGGCGTCACTCTCACTCTCCCCGAAGGCAAGACGATCCACGGCATCAAGATATTCTACGTGTGGTGCGAGGAATTCGACGTAAGTACAGGATTAATACTCCACCAATTCTAGCAATTGGTAATGTCAGGGCGGCCAACTTATCTAGTTCAAGGTAGCCGATAAATCATGAATTAAAAAAAAACGGTAATAATAGCGTATTCGAGGCGCATCGTAAGCATTTAATGTCGGTAATTAGTTGAGGTGAAAGGATTCTCGTTTCATTGTGATTTTTCGTTATTGATAAGTATTCACGTTTTATTCAAGCGTATTGTTTTGTAAAACGGAACAAATGAGCTTTCTATCTTATCCGAGAATCTAAAAATTGCTTTAATTATACCGCGAAAAGAATTTAACATTGTACGTGTGAAGGTACACCGTTAATAATTGGATAACAATTAAATTTATTAAATACTACAAGAAAATGTTTTCTAAATTCTTCCAAATCATTTAGAAGAATCATCTATATACCTGTTTCGATGTTCTAGATACTCATATAACCCTAATTCATTAATTATTAACAATTATACTTAGATATTAAATACCAGTAGAAAATGTTTTCTAAATTCTTCAAAAAAACCTTCTATCAATCTTCATATTCAACTTTTATACCCCAATTTAATTAACAAGCTCCTTTTTATTTTTTGAAGAACTTTTACTTTGTATACTTAAAAAAATGTTTTGTAAATTCTCCCAAAAACCTTCCATCATCTACACCTCTTCCTTTATTCTACACCTATAACCCTAATTAATTAACCAACTCCTTTTTAATTTGTTTTTATGAACTTAGTTTGCGAATTTGCCATTTATCTCATCCGTCATGCAAAGCAGACGTTACGCCCGATCCACGTACTCGACTGAAGTTTGATCCATAAAAAATTCTAATTTTTCTGTTGTTAACAAATCCCAACGGCGGTATAATTCGCCGGCGCTCCTTCGCCCTTCGGATCCTTTCGCGGGCGAGCCGGGGAAAAGTTCGAGAAGTTCGGAGGAGCCGCTCAAAGGGCCCTCGAGAGCGCCAACGGAAACGTCATCCGTCACCTCTACGGTGTTAAGGAGCCGTTTTCGGCGAAGTTTCGCGGCGCAAAAATGAGTTCGACTGCTCTCGCCATAATCTATATGTTAATGGCAGCCGACGTTCGCACTCATTTAAAATTTAAATACGTCTCTTCTCCTCATTTCGGCGACGCTCGCCCTTGGACTTATCCGATCGGCGGGCAGGTTCGGCCCTACCCGACCCAACAACTTTTTATTTCATTACCTAATCACTTAAGTACGTTACTAAAAATCACCAAATGTAGAAGCCAAATAGAAGATAGGATTCTCAAGTCATGATTCAGCTGATAGGTCACGAAAGATTATGATGATTCAAGAGCTTTAAGAACTACTCGATAGTCTCTAATTGTTCTGTAAATGTAAAATGTGATGGATGTATTTTGATATGTAAAATTTTGAAGCCAACGCTGCATAATCGAGCGATTTCCAAATGAAGGAGTTGTTAACTGTCTAGAAGGAGAGAAATTTGATTATTCCGGGGGAAGTGAATGGATGTGAAAGCAGGGAAATCTTTATTATGATAATTACGTTGCTCCACTAAGCCCTAATTGTAATAAAAGGCGCTGTCCCGTGTTTTCCGACATGGATACTTCTTTCTTAAATTCGTTGTTATATTTTTTATTTTTCTTAAGCTTCTAACGGTGTTTGTTTATTTAATTTCAGGTGAACTTCGGAGACGTGAAAATACCCAGGAATTTCGAATACCCTAGACCCCAAAAAATAGAGGCCCTGAAAGGCGTTCATGCCATTTCGTCCGATAACATCGTCATTGTCGACGCCCAAACTATATTGATACCCAATCTATCGTACGATGGAGAAGCACCAGGTAAACAACAAAGTATTGCAAATTGTATAGGTTTCTGAGGTAACATTAAATACAAACCATTAAGCGAGTATTCGAATGCGCTTGCTAAGTTGCAGAGTTATTGTCTCTCGAGAAAGTTGCTACTATTTGGAAACGAACAACCGCACTATGAAACGGCCAATAAATGTTTGAGTTATGGAATATTCGATAACTTAAATACCACTTTGAATCAGATAAAATTCCAACACAATAGAATACTTATTCACTTACACTTACACAGCGTTGAACAGCTATTAAAGGAATACATTTTCAGATGCTAAATTCTGGGTTGGACGCGGTCCCAAACCGTCGCCTCAAGGTATAAGAGTACCTGACGAAAATGGCAAGGAAGTACCGCTAAGAAGATACGACAGAAAAACTATAGTCCTCACCCTACCCGGCGATTTAACAGTTTTCGATATTGGCCACTTCGGTATCTGGTGCGAGATGTTCACAGTCGATTTCGGTCACGTCGTCATCCCTCCCAGATTGAACATCCCGCCTTCGTTGAAAATGCTCGGCGTCAGTCCGCAGGTAACGAAAACCTCCGATAAAACTAGCTAAAAGTTCGCTTTGTTTTTGTTGAAACAGGCCGAGCAAGTGTCCCACCACTGTCTAATAAAACAATGTTTCTGTTGTTACAGAAGCTACACTACGTAGGCGTGCCGAGTGCACCGGTGCAGCATTCGAGACCGTTCGTTGGGGGACACTTGCAGGCCACCACTTTCCGCCCGCCGTCCTTCTTCTCCATATTCGGTAGAAAGAACGACCAAATCGACCGGCAAAACTCTGTTAATTACGTGCACCAGCAACCGCAACCCAACGATATCTTACCCAAATCCAACATTCAATACAACCAATTTAACGTTGAGCAATCGCCACGTCAACCGGTTCACTACCAGCCCTTTCCTCATACGATCCAACAACCGCACAACCATTTGATCAACCAGCAACAGCAATTCCAACAACTCCAGCAACAGCAGCTACTTATCCAGCAGCAGCAGTTGCCTATTCAGCAGCAGCAGTTGCCCGTCCAGCAGCCTCAATACGCCTACATCAATCAGATAAAACCTCAAGTTAATTACGCTCCCCAGCAATCGCATGAAATCGATATTAAACAGTCGATTTCGCTTCCTCTTCCTCAACAAAGCTTTGGTCAGGAATCTGCAGATTTGCGGCGAATACAGCAACACAATAACGTACAGCAGGATAACAGAATACCTGCCGGTCAGGACTTAGGGCAGTACAATGGAGATAATAGGAGGTTGTTCAACGAGCAGTTGGCTTATAACCAGTATTTGCAAGAGAAGAAATATCAAGATGATCAGCTGAGGATTCAGTTAGAAAGGCAGTACAATAGGTTTCAATTGAATGGAAATCAGAATGGTGGTTATACTCCGTTAGGATAGGTTTAAAGTTGATAAATTATTGGATCTCGGGTTACAGTAACTATTTTATTTATTTCGTATGCAGTATTAGAATAGATTCATTTTGTGGTGCCAGTGAAAAATTACCAAAAATCTACTATTTAGTGAAATTCATTTAGATGAAACGAGGCCAGTTATGAGTAGATTTTCGCTAATTTCATCTTATTCACGATGTACATATTGTGTATTATTTTTATGTAAATTTTTGTAACATATGGTCAGTATACAGATTTAATATATTTTTATATTTATATATTTATTTTGCGGATTTTTAATAAACAGCTATTGGTATGAACACATGTTTTCTTAAAGAAAATCACCTCGCGAACACAGATAATACGATTAATTAGTTTTTCTATTACAGTCGAAATTAAATTGTGAAGTTTTATTCGACGACTTGGCCTTCGAAGTGCGATGGGCAGTCGCTGGGGAGAGCATCGTTCTACAACTCGTCGCTAAATTAGGTAAGTTTTTTAATTAAAAAAAACTCATCTGATCAATGCGATAGTAAATCTTAAATCAACCGGGACGATTTCATTTCGCCGAGCCCTAAGCAAACGCACTGCTAACGCAGCGAATACAAGACGAATCGGTAGAAATTACCAGGCTCTAACGAAGTAATAAAATCGATCTAAAAACGGGTCAATCGTCGAATTACTCGATGATTTAAATTACCATGTCGAGTGTCGTCCGTGACACCAACGATCGTAAATTATACGAAAGAAAAAATCAGGAGCGGCGGATTCTTCCCTTGAACTTTAACGAAATGTAGAACTTCAGGTGACTGACATCTAAATTATTATTGATTTGTCAGGGCCAGTGAATGTAGGTAGATGAAACGAATAGTTATATTATAACAACATGATTGCCTTTCAACCAAGAATTATTAAAAAAAACGATTCTTAAGCGCAATCATCCACTGGACACTCACATGTCCTATTCTATAATTTTTTTAATTTCAAATAAGACAGTGATTAAAAACTTCCATTAAAGCTCATTAAGAATATGTATCCGATAAAAGGAAGCGCACAATCTCTCTTATATAATATTTTGCTCGAAATAATCCACATTTTAACATATTTGCAGAGTTACCATAATATACCGTATTTTCGCTTTATCCCGTTTCATGCATGGAGAGAAATTTCAGAGATTGTTATCGCTAAATAGCATTTATACAAGCAACCCGGTAAACGCCGTTAGAATTGCTGACCGGCAACTTTTTGTATCGCTTCGTGCCCGGTTCTCGTTAAAACGGAAACCCTCCACGGACTGGGGCGATAAATCGGCAGAATTTCAACGATTTTCCTTTTAACAGATGATAGAGAATACATGTCGTTCGGATTATCCGGAGATGAATCGAAAACTGTTATGATAGGAGGCGACGTAGTGGTCGCTTGGGTCGACAAGCAAACTCTCAAAGGGCACGTTGAAGATTACTACCTGGAAGACAAAGCTCAATGCTCCGGCCCTTCGGGCTCCTGTCCAGATAACAGACTATCGGTAAGTTTTAACCATCATCCATCCAAAATAGACAACAATCTGGACACACTTTCAGGAAGATACAAACAACGTGAGACTTCTCAACGCTGCATTAGTCAACGGTTACTCCATCCTAACGTATCAAAGACCTCTGAAGGCTTCAGATCAATACGATCGTGCTATCCACACGAACACATCACAAGCCATCATTTGGGCTATCGGTCCTCTGAATCAACGAAACGAAGTATCCTTCCACAGCAAGTATCTAAAGAAGAACCATCTCATTGATTTCGGTCGACCGGCTAAGTGGAATTGCCCTACGCCAGAGACAGAACAACCTTCAATGACGTCTGTATACGCCTCAAACAACGTCAAAACAACACCAGCACAATCGTCGTACGAAGAAGAATATTTAGATGAACCAACCACCAGCGCTCCAAAAAGAACTAACGGTTAGTACTCTATTAGAATTCGAAAACTTATTTCTCTAACGAATGTTAAATAGTAAGAAGACGAGGTCCGAACAGAGGAACCCAAAGACCCAGTTCGCAAGAGAGCGTTGAAGATTCTGCACCTCTTCCGTCCAGAACCAAGGAGCAAGCTCAACCTTCCAGAAGAAGAGGATCCCAACCTACGAGAGCACCCGAAACCAGCCAACCACCAAGACGCAACCAAAGCAATAATAAAAAATCCAACGCTTGGGTCATTCCGCCTATCGAATGCAACGAACCGGAAGATGGAGTGTTTTACGCACAGATGGGGCCGACCGGTGGGAAAAGAGGATACCCAGCCATAACTGGTAGGAATTTATCTTCGTCCATTTGGAATGTTTTCTAGTTTGATTATGTTTAAGGTCACGTTGGTTGGGGTATTTCCTGGTACATCAACGGTCTGCTTATACCTGAAATCCATGTTGTCAGGGGCAAAACCTATAATTTCGTAGTGGAAGGTGGAGATGATCCAGAAGTCTCGGCTAGGTACCATCCCTTCTACATAACTGACGATCCTATCGGAGGTTACGCGTACAAATCGCCCGAAGAAAAGAAGGTAAAACGCGCTATTTAGGTAATATAGGCTTATCGGGTTATCGTTCATTATATTTCCAGAAAATTAACATATACGCCGGCGTTCGCAGAGACAAGGAAGGCAACGAAATCCCGACCGGTGTGGGTCGTTTGTGCACGTGGACTCAAACAGGCGATCTGGAAGCCGACGATTACGCTTCGTTCGGTGCATATCAAAGAGTTTTAGAATTAAAATGCGATCAACGTGAAAATCCTGGCGTTGTGCAGTGGACGCCGGACGAGGACACTCCGGATACTGTTTACTACCAGGTACACCAGATTATCTTAACGTACACTTTACAGAGATATTTTACGTTAAAACTTTCTTTTTAGTGTTTCACTCACCGTCACTTGGGGTGGAAAATTCACGTTCACGATACTTGCGATCGTTTGCCAGCGGCTAGCGAACTCCAGCCGTCCGTTGTGCGCGCTCCGGAACACATCCTGTCCAAATCGGACGTCGATCTCGAAGAATCCCCTTCGTCGAGCGTCGAAACAAGGGTAAAACACACTAACATACTTAAAGAGGAGCAAGAAGATAAAGATAATAAATCAATCATTTCAGAAAAAGTAGAAGATCAATCATATTTAAACCTGTCACGACCTACACAAAGTTTCGAACCCATTCACCACACGAGAACCGGACCTGCATTCTACTCCTTTCGCATGCGGCAGTCACAACCGAATTTGCACTATTTCAGACCGAGCACTCTATTAAATTCCGGAATAGAGGAAAATAAACAGCACTCTATATCAAACACTAACTCCCATACTTACACGTCCACTACTACTACCACAATCGCACCTACTACCGAAAGTTCCACAACTCCTAAATTAAACGATAACATAGCAATAGCTAGCGAAGTTGTTAACAAAACGTATTTAGTACCTCCTCCTGTACAGTATAGAGAGAAAGTGGTATACAGAAGGCCTGTCAATTACATCCCCGTTCCTCTCAAGCTAGTAAATCACAATCCTATGGGATTGCGATATTATAATTTACCTATCAAAGCGTACAAAAAACCCATCGTTAGGATTCCACAGTACAGACCTTACAAGCATAAGGTATACGCGCACGGATCCCCTTATGTACTCATCCAGCCTGCTTCGGTTATAACCAAATCACCTATAGAGAATCAATTGAAGGCCTATCCAGAGAAACCTAGAACAGAGGAAGTAAAACACGTTGAAATATCTCCCCAACAAGCTTCTACGGAAAGAGAACCCGAGATCCAAACCGCTCCCAGCGTTTCCGCGTCGGATATATCACCCAATTTCTACCGACCTGCCTTCAACACGGGCTTCAAACCCGGCTCGATAAAAATCGAAAGCGGCTTCAAGCCGATTATCACCAAAGACCTGGAGGACAGAGTCGATACGCAAGAACCCTTGGTGGAGCACGAAAGCGAAAAGGGAATCATCCGAGTAAACGATACGGGTAAATTCGAACCGTTCGAGCCTCTGTTCGTACCATCTCCCACTCTGAAACCGTCCAAAGATAAGAAAACTAAAGTGACTAAAAGAGTGAGCCCGAAGAGGGACTACGAGTACATGAAAATAGTGATAAAAAGACCTCGCGCTGTTGAAACTAACGATGGGGATTTGGAAGAGCCTATAGCAGAGGCTGCAGAAAGGTCGGAAAGTTACTATTTACCCCCTACTAACGCTAAACCCGTGGAAACTGTCAGGCAACCGTCTGAAATAGATCTCGATCTGCCAGAAGCGATGCTGGGATCCCCACCGGACGTTGTCATAACGTACGACGGTAGGAAATTATCCGGGCACACTTTGACAGCTAAATTAACCGACAGGCCTTCGATACCGGCGCAGAGATTGTCTAAAGCCAATGCCTACATTACAGCCGGACCGCAATTTGGTCGTTTTACCGGCGAATTGCCGCCTTTGAATATCGATTACTTAGTCAAAACCGCGCCTCAACTGCAAAGCTCCGCCGGTGTACTGAACAGAGGGCTAGACGCGCCGGTTTTACCACCGGAAAACGACCAAAAGATCGCTTCCACTAAATTAACGAAAGTTCAAACTTACACTAGGGAATATTAAATACGTTCGTATATTAGCAATACCACGGTCTTATATAGAAGGTCTGGAAAGTGGCCCGATTTTGTGGTGGCGGGTGCGTCCCGCTAAACGAAGATGTTTGGGATAGTTCACTTGAGCATACTATCGCAAACTTATATGAGTTTATAATATTTGTAGACAAGTAAAATAATTGAATAAGCTCTGTAAAAAAATATTAGATTCTCACATCGCCGCCACCGGTCGTTTTAGGAACTACGTACATTCGCTTCAAACGAGACCGCTGAGTTTCCAGACCTGAATATACGACCGCGAGCAATAAACTATTTAAGCTAGCTAATGTTATAAATTTTGTTATTTAAGGTGTACTCAGTTTATAAAATACTTTCTGGTTTCAGTAAACTTTAAGCATCAATTGAAATCGATTGCGCAAGTATCGTTTTAGGTATCTTTTAGTGACTAATTTGTAAATATGTTAATTTTGTAAGTTTTTAATAAAACTATTTTTAAATATGTTTCGATAATTACAAATAAAAAAAAACATACACGTACAACACCAAGTTTATTAAATAAGCAAATGATCTTTATTACAAATCAATTTCTACATTGGTTAACCAAAAAAACTTCAGATATTAAACGCTAAAAGAAAACGAAACTAATTCGCAACCTAAATCTATCAAAGAGAAGAAAATAAATGGATACAAGATTAATATCTAAAAAATAAACGAACGAAAATTGGATTCCCTTCGTTCCCTTTATCGGATCTAAACACACCGCGCTTTACTAATCTTTCGCGTTGCCGTTCTCCTTAACGGACCTACTGTGCGACCTGGACCTGGACCGCGACCTCGTCCTCGAATGCTTGTCGTTGCTGCGCGACCGGCTGCGGCTCCTCTTCCTCGATTCCGACCTAGAGCGGCTCCTCGACCGCGAATTGCTCCTGCTCCTGCTTCTGCGATCCCTCGAACGGCTTCTCGAACGACTCCTCGACCTGACGACAACACAAGACAGATTTCCCCCGTTTTATTTCGAGTCCCAAGTGATTTATCGCGGAAAAATTAGCGACAATCGCATCGCCTCGTCGTCAAATTGACGAGGGATTGTTCATGCGTGTATCGCTATATTTTTCGTTTACTATCTTTAAGTGGAGGAATGCAATATTTGATAGTTCGTTAACAATGAAAAAAGCTAAATTACGAATTTTGAAAGACCCCCTAAAATTAAAAACTTTCGGTTACTACTACTGATAAATCGGATGATTAGATTAAAAAAAATCAAAAATAGAAATATCGAGCTCCACGGTAGTTAAAATTAGGCTCAATTAATATAATTAATTATCGAATAAAAGTAGCACGGTAATTATTTATTAAAACGGAAAACTTGATATTTGCCAATCGTAGTAATTTTTAAACTAATAAATGAGAAAACGCTTCGGCTTTGTAATATAAAATAAACATTCGATAAAGTCGTTTTCTCAATTTTTTTTGTTTCTACGCTCACCCAAACAATTAATACCTGCTGTAAATTTTATTTTGTAATTGTTAATTATAGCCTAAAAGGTTCATTAAAAGTAATTTTACCATTTTTTTGTGAGAGCTTGTAAGACACTAGTAGTCGTGACGTAAACTTTGTAGATATGTAGTAGAAGAGTAATCAACTATTGTAGTAGTAGAGCAATGGGGGATACAGACGATTTATGGTATCTCTCACTGGCTCACAGTAGTAGTTTCTCTCGGTAAATAGTAGAGAACCGTTGATAATGCTACGTGACGTGGATTCTACGAAGTCAGTGGGAGACAACAACTAGGCGAGTGAATGTACTCATAGCGTTCGATTTTCATTACCTGTCTACCGTCCAGAGACTCTTAACCTATAAACATGGCAGTAAGGTCAAGCCAATTTCTCTTTCCATTTACACCTTTTTTTTTAACTTTAATATTTTTATACCGACATATATCCTACGATTTAGTGTCGGTCTAGCATGCGGTCTACTCTATCGCATCTGGTTTAGTATGCGGTCTACCCAAATTTATTAAATGAAAAAGTATTTATTACAAATTACAATACAAAGATTTGGAAATTTTACTGGTATTGCATTATTTATAGAACAGCTTGTGGGTAATTCACTTTACAATTTTCATGAAGCAAAAGAAAAGATTTTACTAGTATCATATTATGTATGGAACAGCAGGTAATTCAATTTATCGAGAATTACAGAAGTATCAGAATCATATTTAAACGGCTATTTAAATATAACTGGGCGACAAAGTGTACTAGGTAGATAGCATAATGCACCAAAAAATATATTAGGTAGACCCCCAATTATGGTAGACCGCATACTAGACCGGCACCAACGATTTTTGTGGACTTTTATTATATTGTTGTTCAATAGATAATTTAATTTTTGCCATCAAATGCGGAATTTAGAAGATTTAACAACATTCAAATCGCTACAATGTAATCTCCACAAAAATCGTATCAAACAATATCCATTTGTTAAAATTCAAGAAAAAATAATTAAAAAAATACTCATTAAAAAGCATAATCAAATAAATATCTCAATAGAAATGTAAGTGTATTGAAAAAGAAAAAAATCGTGAGTATAACAAATGAATTTTATCAGAGATATGCGGTAATCACTTCTGAATACTTCAATTCAAAATTAAAAAATAAAAATTAATTTAAATTTGAATCTGCCTATAATGATCTCTTTCCTAAGCATTTCGAAAATAGGAATACTCCCAAGAAATCAATACAAAACAAGCTAATAGGTACTTATCTAACTACACAATAGTCATGAAATTACAATAGGAAAATTCCCAAAAATAATCTTAAAAGTTTTCCAAACAATTCGAAACGCTATAGGAATATAAATTCATTAATATCTCTGCAAATATAAACAAAAATTTTAAAGAGAAAAATAATGAAACTAGGCATAGAGGTACCTACATAAATTAATCCTTCAATTATAGTTACATTACAAACTCATATAAAATTTTATATATCGAACAATACGTAGGCGCCACACGCTAATCCTACTTTCACTATTCATCTCGAAACAAACATCGAATTTAAATGAATCAAAGCAAATAAACCAGCATGAAATGTACCTGTATCGCCCGCCTCTCCTGTATCTACTACAATCCCTAGCGTAATGTCCTCGGTCTCCGCACTCGTAGCACCTGTCGTCCGGATGGAAGGGCTTGCCCCGCGACCGGGGCGGCGGGCCCCTGTACCGGCCGCCGCTCTTCCCGTTGGATATCTCCACTCTGGCGCGCCGGCCGCATATCGTCCGTCCGTCTAGCCGAAAAAAAAGCAAATACAAACGTTCAGTCACGAAAGCAATACCAAGGCGTTGCAAGCATACATTTTTCTACTCGCACTTTGTGACCGCAGACTCTATGACCATCTGAACAAATGAAGACATGCAGTGTTAGCAAATGAATGCAGGTCGGGCTATTTTAGAAGAGCTCTTAGTTTTTGCGATGGGCATTTCTTAATAATGCCACAAAAATTAGTTACAAAAAATGTACTAGGTGTTCGTTCTAACGAACAAGCTATCTGAACGGGTGAACGAGGCGTTAATATCTTTAGGAAGGTTCAAATGTTCAGTAACAAAAATCGAAATAGTGCAATTGAAGCTTCGAATTAGGTTTACGAGTGAAACTTTCGGGGTAATGAAAGAGCGGGGAAGTACTCGAAGGAGTATCAAACAAGTTTTATATTCTTTTAAATTTCATCGACGCTGCAGAATCTTCTGAAAGTAAAAGTGTTTAGTTCATTAAAAAAATTGGCATAAACTATATGAGGATGACGAGCAATAATAAAAATTCTCGTTTTTGGAGAAACTGTATCATTTAACGGAATGAAATGTATCAACATCTGCCGAATAGCTGATTAAAAAAATCGTTTTGTTATTATTCCATACAAACAATTTGATGAATTGGGCATAAATAGCATAGCTATACAAGTACGAGTTCCCTTAATTCGAATATTTAAGGAGATAAAATGATTAATTGATATGGTATGCACAATTCAACACTATACACTACTCTTAGCCAAAAATATAGCAAAAAAAACACTCCTATAGATTACAAAAATACACTAAAATTATTAAGAAACAACGCCAAATAATTTATGAAAAACTATGAGATCAACCAAAATAACTGTTTTGGAACAACAACGAAGTTACCTAAGCCTCTGATAGCGTCTTCGGCGTCTCGGGGGTCCTCGAACTCGACGAATGCGAATCCCGGCGGATTCCTGGCCACCCAAACATTGCGAAGCGGGCCGTAATATTTAAAGGCATCTTCGATTTCTTGTTTAGAGGCACTGCTGCCCAAGTCACCCACGTACACTTTGCAATCCGAATATCTCGACATGATTGAAGGGGCCACCTAGAGAAACAGCAACAATACTATTGATTTTCATCAACACACCCCGCGTTGGGTACTTTTTTGTTGATTTCGCTATAGAAACATACTTACCTCTTTTCGATCCGATACAAACGGTTCAGCGGGAATGAAGAAATAGGTAAAATACAATAGAAAAAACTGACTAGTTTTCCACTGTTATAAGACTAAACGACTTCGACCGGCTTTTTCACTTCAAAATGTGCAATTTCCATTCATCATTCATTTTTCACTCCACCACTCAACTCCAAACAATCGAAACAGGAAAGCCGAGCCGAAAGTGACATTCGTTTAGCTTCGGTTTTATCTAAAGTGCGTTCCGTTTTTAACAGTGCTGCCAACGTTAATTCTATTTTGGCGCGACGATTTAAATAATCCGAATGCAAACAATGCGATTATACCAAATTTAAAAATAATTTAGTAGCTTATTACAATTAAACTCTTCACTCATTAAATATTAGATCTATTTTAATTAAATGTGTATTAAATTTTGGTTCTAAAGTCGGAACGTACTCACGATGACATTTAGTTCACTTTGATTTGACATTGACAAGCTTGACAAAGGCGCTAAATTCAATTTTCGAAGGTCTGAAAGTTGATTCGTGTTTATTTCCTACTTCCTACAAGATTATAAAAAGTTTGTTCGTGGATTTATTGCTTTAAAGGTAAATACTAAAATTATTTTATATTATACACTCGTTACACGAAATAATACCTATTGTCTAATTGAAATGATGGTTTAAAAAATTTCAACATAAGTTTTAAAATGTTTTTAATTACTTAATAAGTACAGTAAAAAAGATAAGATATTATCATTGACACGTTTGACCTCAGCGTGATCGGTTTTGTGTTGAACTCCCTTCTTAAATAAAGTAAGTATTTTATAATTTTTATTCCTTTCTCTTTACAGTACACCCATGAATACCATTTTTTCCTTCATCTTTCATCTACTTATATTAATATACTTCCCGCAAAAGTAAGTATTCATGTACCATTTTCAACGTAATATGCTAATTAGGTTGAATAATTTAACTATCTTTCAGAAACATGGCTTTAAATCCTAACAGTATACCTGTTGAATCAAAGAAGCTGTTCGTGCCTCCTTTATCAGAAGTGGCCGAAGGTAACAGTAATTTAAATTAATATCGGATTATTTAAATTTATAAATATTTAATACTCTTGCAGCTATAAATAATACTTTAAAAACTAATTTCGCTGAGGTTAGTGTTGAAGTAGTTGATTGCCCCGATTTAAGACAACAGCCATTCACCCTAGCAAGTGAAGGTAAATAATTTATTTATTAACAGTACCTGCTTATATTATTCCATTTTACAGATCATATAGAATAGTACATGAATTATTTATGTGATTTTAACTGCACTCTTATCATGCGAGTTCTAATTCAAAATTTAATATTTCTAGGTCTAGGTGGTAACACAAAAATAATAGAATTAGGTGGAAACCCTTATCTCCTTCCTGAAGTCCACAGAGAAAAATATTACGATTTAAAAGACATTGCAAAGCTGGTGAATTCAAATCCTTCGTTTATAATCGGTGCAGGCGCAGGTCCCAATCAGTATGTTGGAGTTAATTGCGAGGTAAGCATTAAAAAATTGATTATTTTAAATAATTTGAAAATATTTTATTATCAGGGGGTGTACAATGTTATGATTGCCGATGGTGAGGTTGTTAATCAAAGCACCAGAATTTCCAAAGTCGATTCCAACGATGATAAATCCATACAGGAAATTTTACCCAAAAATGAAACTAGGTTGGCTTTGCTGGGTAACCTATTTTTTTCGGAAGGAAAACCAGGAAAGGTACATGTTATTAGCGACTATTTTGTACGCAATTACTTGATTTTCAAATATCTTCGTAGGTTCTCAAAGTGCATGCAAAGAAACGTACCGGTGATGACAACTTTATTACATCAATAAGAAAAGCTATCGTTGCAAAGTACAATGACTTAGTAGGTAAATTCCTCTTTAACCAATCATCTCTATGAACATTTATTTATATCCCATTGAAGGTATCGGAGGTGTGTTTCTGATGAAAGAAGGAAAAGGAAAATTCCACGTAATGCGCGACTTCTCCAAAACGCCCATACAAAACGAAGAGCAACTAAACAAATGGTTGAAGTTTTACAATTTCTCAGCTCCTCTCGTCAGTGTAGGAACATTGGTCAACAGTGATGGGGTATACAGTTACTTAGAATTACCCGTACGATAATATAAGTGTGATTGTTTTAGGGAGAACTCGATTTAAGGGTTCAACACTTCCACACTTTCAGCCATCACGGAGAGGCTGGTCATTACCATTATGATACAACGCCCGAAGAAGTCGAGTATTTGGGATTCTTTAATGTGGGAGAAATGTTGTATAGAATAGATAAGCCGGTAAACACCCATAATTGGGGTAGAGATTAAAAAAAAACCTCGATGTAATCGAATAAAGGAAACATTTGTTACTGTTTTTCACGTTCTTTTAAACCCTTCCACAAAATCACCAGTAAATTTACATAACTCAGTTATTAATAAATATTATGCAAACATAAATATTGATTTGTTATCGCCAAGCGAGTTCCACAACAGATTATTTTAATTCTTATTGGCTATAAGTTATTAACTAGACATACTCAATACATGTTTAAGCTTTTACATATTTATCTTATCATTTATTTAGCATATTTACGTTCCTCATAGTTATGTTTTCATTTCAAATATGTATCAGGTAATTATCTGTACTAAATATCTATTAAATGCAAAACATTTGTTCGAATAGGTACACGTTGACGAAACGCTACAGCAGTACAGCTACTGGTGGATGGATCTGTAAAGAATTCACCAAGAAAATGAGCACCAGTAACAACAATAACAACAAAACGATGTACTTCGCTTTCGGTAGCAACCTGCTAGCCAGCAGGATGCACGTCATGAATCCCACAGCAGTGAGAGCTGGCGTCGGTAAATTGCAGGTAATATTCTCAATTTTATTCAAAGTTCAACTTTGTTTTGACATTGCATTTCGCAGGATTATAAACTGGATTTTGTGGCCTATTCCAAATTGTGGAAGGGTTACGCAGCGACAATCGTTCCCAAAATGGGGAGTCACGTTTGGGGAGCTTTGTGGGAAATACCGACTAAAGATTTAGATAAATTAGACCAGTAAGTAACTTTCATCATGCAGTGACCGTTATTATATGTTAAACTTTAAAGGCAGGAAGGCGTCCAAGCGAACATATATTATCCCATAACTGTTGAAGTGTTAACTCCTGATGGTAAAACGTTAAAGGCGAGGTGCTATCGACAAGTAGGTGAAGCCGAAGAGATCAAATTGGAGAATTTGCCGAAAGAGCGGAGGCCTACGCCTGCGTACTTGAATACTATGATCGAAGGGGCCATCGAGACCGGCTTACCGCTCGATTATGTCGAAGATATGAGAAAAATACCCCACAATGGATCTAAAGAAGTTCCAAATTTGAATATTTTGGAATAGATCCATCGTTTAGAAAACTTAGATAACTATCATTTGTGTTGTAATTGTATGTAATTTTGTAAGTATTTCATTTATTAAATTAATTCGTAAATAGAATAATTTATACATGTTTATTAAAACATAGTTACACAAAGTTACAGTTGACTAAATTAATAATTAATCACCCTTGGGCTTCTTTTCATCCTCTTTTAAATGTAGAAAAACGAATGAGAATATGAACACTCCTATCATCATGGAGAAAGCCCCCGTGTAATAGGGATAAGCGCTAGTAATGAACCTTTCGTATTGTGTATGTTGCAAAGGACGTACAGACACTTGAGTAGTACTAAATAATCGAGTATATCCCACTCTATCATAATCCACTTTGAATTGATACACTCCGTAGACATCAGGAATCGTAAATCTCGCTTCGTATTGACCTGCGGGCTTCCTTTTTAGAGTAGTACGAACGAACGGATCAATTCGCACAAATTCTAGTTGTACATCAGTTGCAGTGAAAGGTTTCCATTGGCCTTTTTCCAGAATATCGATTTCGATAGTGTACACCTAAATAGAAAAATTAACTTATTAACATACAAGAAAAACTAAATGTGATAGTGTTTTACTTACCACATTTTCCATGATGGTGTAATCATTCGGAGCATCTTTTTCGCCTTCTTTGTGATGTTTAACGGATCTAACTCTTAATTGACCATGTTCCTTGAACACCCACTGAGTAACAGCTGTTGATACATCTTCATTTCCAGACTTTTTGGCAGATAATCCACCCTTAAAGAGTTATCGATATTATTTCAATAATTCATTAAACTATTTAATCTTACTTGAGCTCTTTCGACGCTAGAAGTGAAGAATTCATCCGAGAAGAACGATAAAGATCCACTAAATACAACTCTAGCGTTGTTTCTAGCTTGAATTCCAGCAATGAGTACAGTGTCTCGCCCAACAGCATGTGGATACTAAACGAACAATAATGGAATTATGTACTAATAATACTCCTTTGCTTAATTATATTACCTCTTTGATGGGTTGATCGGGGTTGAAACTGTAAGCGGTACTATCAGCTGTTAGCAAGGGCAACACCAGCGGATTTTCAACATCTGTTAAAATACCGGTTCCTTGATATAACAAGGGAGCTACGCCCTTCTTGGGCCCGACAATTACAGGGGCATCGATCAGGTTGTCGGACGACACCACCAATTTGGTATGCTGCCCGTTATCGTCTACACTAAATCCATGATGGTCGATTACGAAAGCACCTTCTTCATCTACCTATTGGATGAAAGGGTAGTTAAATATAAATGAGAGGAAATGATGATTTTTTTTACTTCAAATCCACATTCTGAAGCAAGTTCTCTTAAAACATCCCCGGTTTCGCTACTGCCTGCTACTAGGACGTTGCCCCCATCGTCTACGAATTGAGTGATTGCATCAACGTTGAGAGATCCTCCGAATTCTTCCACACTGGGAGCGAATATGATCAAATTCTTGTATAAATACTCTCCATAACGAGATAGAACTAGCGAAGCATCATCGGCAATTTTGAAAGTAAGGGTGTAACCTCTATCTATAAAATAGAGAAAACGTACTTATATTTAATGATTTACTCTATTTTACAGGAATATGTTAATTAGAATGTAATCTTAAGTACCGGTACATAACCTTATTATAACTCTTACCTTGTAAAGATTTAAAGAAAATTGAATGGGTTTCTTTTATAACTTGATTATCGAGTAGGACTAGAGTTGGTCCTTGTGCCAAAGAGGCAGCAAAAAATGAACACAAAAGGATTATTAATTTCATTATTTTAACAACTCCTGCCTCTTTTGCACCAAAATCTGACACGTTTACTTAATTCACTTCAAATGTCAATGTCATTGATACTGACAATTCGTTGTTTTATTAGTGGTCTCTTTCATAATTAGAAATCAGATAAAAAGTTAATTATTTTCTTCAAATAAAAAAAGAAGAGAGAATTTAACCTTTAAATTTGGTTTATATTTAAATTATCAAAACTTCATTTTCGAAATAAATAGAATAAAATATGTTCAAATTACCGAAAAACTGGCTACTTAGATCACCTCTTCAAGTAAGTATTAATACTTACACACTCATACCAAATATTTAAATGACTATTCTAATTTCTAACGTTTAAGGCTTACATAAGAAACTGCAGCAGTACTGCCGCCAATTCGCCCGTAAATGAGCAATTAATACTGGACAAGCTTCGAGGCAAGTTCCCCAAAGCAGCCACCATAAGTGTCGAAGACACTTCGGGAGGTTGCGGGGCAATGTTCAATGTTAGTGTCGAGACACCTGACTTTCAAGGACTGTCCGTAATGAAGCAGCACAAGTTAGTTTATGAAACTCTCAAAGACGAAATGACCAAAATACATGGGCTTCATCTACAAACAAGAATTTCGAAATAATAGATTGTTGATTTACTTGCGTAGTAAATTATTTATTTGCAATTTATAGTAAAGTTCGACTGTGATAATTAAAGATTTTTGATTAATAAATTTTGCTTTAAATGCAAATTAATTCAAAGTGTTTTTTATTAAATTATTATATTACAATGATATGGTTTTAATATTTAAAAAAAATGAAGCTCGTTTACCTAGTATTTTATGTTATTTTCTTATTTGATCATTAGAGGATTTTTTCTCTCATTTTTTACGCTAAAAAATATAACAAAGTTACTCATTTTTTAAAAAAACTTGAATTAATTGGTTTGATTTTAATTACTTTGTTTATTACTCATTTAATCATCAAGTTCAAATCATTTCTTATTTTTTCTGGATAATTGTATTGTTTTTTTAAGTTCAGTGAAGTACTTAGTTTAAATTTTCGCAAATAATTGCAAAATTGGTTTCAATATAGGCTATGGGTAGACAAAGACAACTTCCATTATTCTCATATAAAGGAAAAGGAGAGGCAACTGTTATTTTAATAATCTTTCTTTATTCAACTCATAGAATTGACCATATACTGCAAACAAATTTGCACTCACCCATATACCTTTTTAGAAAGTTTATTATTATGAGCTTTACCCATGTATGCATATTGTTTGGTAACTTGCAAGTCCTTTAATATCATCAATACTTCATTAACTTTCAAATAATATATGCAGTAGAGCGATTTCTTATAAAAATACCGGCTTCCCGTAACCCTCACAAAAATTATTACACAATAAAAATCCTCTCATCTACGCTCTAGGTCGATTGTTAATTTTTTTTGTTAAAATTCGTAATTATTCTCATCAATTTTAATATAAATACGCTCAACAACGGACAATATCCATAGTGTTCGAGTAGACTACTATTGAAACATGAAACTGCTACTGGTATTTGCCTTCATCGCAAGTGCGAGTGTTGTGCTTTGTGAAAAATACACCACTAAATACGACAACATTGATTTAGATGAAATCTTAAAAAGCGAACGTTTACTGAAAAATTATGTCGACTGCGTTATGGAGAGAGGCAAGTGCACAGCAGACGGGGCCGAATTGAAAAGTAAGTAATATTCTAAATGGTAAGTAAAGGCTAAAATTGCTTTATTGCTTCCAGAAAATATGCCGGACGCTTTGAAAGAAGATTGTTCTGGATGCAGCGAAAAACAAAGAGAAGGCTCCATCAAAGTTATCAGATATTTAGTTAAAAATAAGAGACCGATATTCGATGAATTAGCCGCTAAATTCGATCCCGATAAAACTTACATTACCAGACACAAGGCAGATCTCGAAAAAGAGGGCATCACCGTCTAAATACCCTCCAAAGTTTCTCTACTTTTGTTTGTAAGTGAATTTGTTTGTTGCAATAAATTCTTTCAAAGTTAATAATTTCGTTATTTTTCTAATAATCTGGTTTATGCCACTAAGAATGGGAGATAGAATAATATAATTTATGTGTATATTACAAATTTGCTTCGTTACTCACGAACTCCTTTCGAAATGCGCTTATTCATTCATCAACCATCCAATCAATTTTTTTATCTATACGATAGGTATTAGATAATATTAAATTTATTAATTCAAATATTGTAATATCAAATCAACGTTATTTTTTTTCATTATTACCATCAAACGTTGCATCTAGTCTAGTAGTCAACTTTTTACCATATTTACAGATTTTTCATTCTTCAGATTCAAATTTGAATATCTCTAATTATGAGAAAACTAGAGTGAATATTAAACATTTAAAGTCCAAGGTGAGGATTATAATTACAACCTCCAATTGTGTTAATGACTTAATTAAGTCACTGTAGCCGTGATGTTGAGTATTTATTTGCAGTGGGTATATGAGGAAATATTTTGCATAAAAATATAACGGACCTAAGCTGAGAACGCACTACTTCCTACACAAAGATGTCGATAATTTAAATTCGATGATTATTTATTTACTGTTCATTATGCGCACTAAATGCATCTATTGAACCGATCTAGATTCATAATTGCGGCTACTTTTGCGAAATAAAAAAGATCATCGAACACATTTGCATATTTCATTTCTATAATAAAGCTATTTCTATAATAAAGCGATTAGGTTTCACCGACATACTTTTTGTCTTCTGCCATTTTTTTTCTAACCGAAAACGCTCTTATATTAATTGTATTAATTATAAATCGGCGTGAGAAAGTACTTCATTTCAGATCCACTCGCCGCGTTTCTCATGCGTTTTTTATTAAAAACTAGTCTAGTACAAAATTGGATTAAATATTGAAATTACACAATATTTAAACACCAATTACCTGCACTAACCTACTTACAGTAAAATTGATTGTGTTTTGGATACGAAGAGGAATAAGAATTTGCAAATTCGCATTTTTCGCACACTTTATCGAAATTTTTATTGATTTAAAACATATACTAGAGTGTAGGATTTAAATAATCCGGTACTTTAGATTAACTGTTGTTTATTCAAATTAGAAATATGTAATTAATAAAATATGTCAATGCTGATCGATTCTTCGTGTGCTTCGTTTTATTAAAGAGAATTCATGTAACTTTTTAATAACGCCTAGTAAATGTAAAGAGTCGTACTAGTTACTTGAAGTAATTAAATAATTACAACATATTTGTATACGGAGTTTATATAAAAGCGTTATACAATTCCCCGTTCGGTGTAAATACTTTGCAGGTCAATACACACGAATTGTATTTCATGAAATAATTAGTCTAACAAAATTCTTACGACCAACCAATAGGTTTTTTTAATAAGTTTTATAGTTGAATGCAATTTGATTGAAAATTATGATCATCGGCAAAAAAGGAGCTGTTTCTATACAACGAGATTTGTCAGGGGCCCATGCATCGACACCAGCACGTATAGCAGTACCCACTCCATTCGAGATGTTACGAAAAAACCGAGCACAGTACCTGCCTAGGTATAACCTGTTGAATGACCACCGCAGGAATTCCTCCGATTAGAGCTTGCGCCGTCTTAAAAAAAACCACACGTCGCCGACCTCGCTCGCGAGCGCACGGGCTGCAGCATGTGCTTCGGAATCATCTTCACGATTTGTCAAATTTAGTGTTTCAACGGGCAAACTTTCCGGCGTGTTCGCGCGATCGAAATGACGGCGTGCTGGTGATAGCGGGTGGTGACAAAAACCGTCGCGATTTTTCCGTTTCTGTTGATTGTTGATGCACTATATCGGCCCGGCGATGAATTTTCGCGATAAGGATTCCGGTTGAATATGTGACATGGCGAGTTTTAAGGACTTGCAGTTGGATTGGTCGATGCTCAGGAGCGAGGAACATTGGACGGAAACAGGTGAGTGCTTGGCCGAAAAATTGTTCGGCACAAAGAAAAGTAAAAGTGTGTTAAACGTTCGATTAAATCATATCGCATGTTGATTATTGCATAACGCATTCTATTGGGTTTTATTATAGATTCGTTTTGCAGTTATTGACAGTGTTTTTGCACTTTGGTAATTAGGTAGCTTATAATTCTTTCAAATAAAATGTTACAAGAAATTTGCTTAGGTACCTACATACTCTTATAAACTATTTTTAACACTGTATACCACATACTTTATTTTTTTTTTCATCAATTATATAATTGTTTTTCTTCAATCTCTAATTAATCGGAATTACAACAAACTACTTGATTGTGGATAAACTTGAAAAGTAAAAGTAGAGCTCAAAGAATGAACTTGACATTACTTAATGGTACTTAACGTTTGAAATCTTTCTTAAGGAGCAATGAATGTAAAAAGAAAATATTTTTCAAGAATTTAATAACCCACTGTTATTTAATTAGTAGTAGGTAGTAATTTCTGGTGGGTTTTATTTAGGCGCGTTTTTGTAATAGATAAAAAACTGTGTCAAAAGGTAATTAGAAGGAAAAAATAATTCATTTTGCGTTTCTATTGTACCTTAAACAATGGAAATAAAAAACAATCTATTTTAATCTGCCTACAGGAAAATGCATGTGTAATTTTCTCGGTGAGCAGAATTCTCTTCCATAAGAACTGACCCTGAAACACACCAATAAAGCGTAGGTTGAACCACATTAGTCTACTTGTATAACATATGGCAAAAGAAAATTTACACTTGTGTAGGTAATATAAAAAAATAGCAGATAAATTTTGGATTCATTTATTGGCGATTAATTAAGCTTATATAGGCATAAAACTTTTACGATCACTTGATACCACTTATTTATAAGCTTAAATTGCCGATATTTTTAGTGAGATAATAGATTTTTAAATAACAAATTACATCATTAAGTAAAATGCCGAAATTATCACCTTAAAATTCGGAATAGATGTGTGGTAGAACGTTGTGAAATTTAAAATAATTATTCCACGATTAATTTCAATAAATTTTACAACATGCAAAAATATTTTGGAGTTTTTACCGATAATTTTCCACCACATTTTTAGAAATTAAGATGTACAAATTTTTATTAAATTCGGAATCCACATTAGTAATGAAACGTTTAACAAAAATTGTTGAATGATTACAATTATTTAAACTAATTATTTAAAATATTATTACCAACTAAACGACTACGTTTATTATAGGCTTATATCGGAAACTTATTGCTCGAGAAGTTCAAAGCTACTCAGCCTTAAAAATTCCAATTGAACACAATTATTTTCTCCTTCAGCAGTAATATTATTCTGCAAGTACTTGTTTATTACGTTTGAGATACCACTAGATAAACATATAACCGTTAAAAAATAACAGCGGGGCAATGATTTGATCCGTTTGCGTGTTATTTTATTACAAATGTTAAGTAACGTTCATTGTATGTTAATAAAAAGTAATAATTAGTATCCAAGTACCTCATATTGGCTGGTATCAATTGGTACTATTATTTAAAAGAACGGTTGTTTTTTAAACGGATGATAGAGGAGGAAAATAAATACCTGATGGTTATATAGCACGTACATATCTTATTGGTTAGAGTAAAAATTCCTTAAGCTTGTAAATTAGTTAAAAGGCGAAGTAATCATAAATTACTATTGACGTAGTGATAAAGCGGTCCTAGGTGGCATCGAGACCTCCTTTCGGCTAAAATATTGCGCCTTAATCACCTGGCATCTCCAGCCAAGCTTATTTTACAAAATGCATTTGGAATGTAGCGCTTCCAATATACCTAATGGTGAAATGCTACGTTGGTTAATTTTATAGTCCAGTTAGTAAATAGTTTATGCAAAACTATATTAATCATGTAACACCGCCGGAGAAAAAGTTTCTCGAACAATTTCACTGAAATAATCGACAGGTGACAATTAGGATGATGGTATAGCAGAGGAATTTATTTGGAATAATATTTAAATTAATGGTGGATACTGAGCGGTTTCCTGTCTCATCGACAGTTGATATCTCGTCGCCAGACTTGTATTTGTCACGTTTAAAAGCAGATTGTTGAGGTATTTTCAGAACATCCGTTACGTCTTTCGAGATTTAACTTCTTCGCCGGGGATTTTTATGCGAAATTTTTTGAATATTCCGCCTCAACGACTCCTTGTATGCAAATATACGAACAGGTTCGTATATGGTTAATATTGATATCTTCGATAGGTACATTGAGGATGAACCTTTAAAAGTGCAACGACCGCAAGATTTAAACGAGGTCTTCGTTTAGTCAATGTATTGTAGGTGCACTTAATTCCATTGCAATGATGGATATACTTGCTAAATATTTAATTTGTATTTATTTGCATGATTTATTTGCCCGTATCTTCGCAGTTATACTATTGCCTTGCAGATATTTAGTATAGATATAGGACAAAAAATAATTGTAATAATTGTTAGGTTTTAAAAACTCAATTATTTTCTATAGTCTAATCGCCTATTGTACCGACTGAATTTGTCCTAGATAAGTATTGTACATTGCATAATAACTCCGATCTAGTCCAATTATGAGATTGTGCGTGCTCGAAATTTTTTTCGCATTTTCGTGATCATTTCTAATACTTCGTTAATTCCCGACTATCATTCAGTTTTTTAACGATAATCAGTTTCGCAACTATAATTTTTTGCGAATATTTTCATTTTTGTGAAACAATGTCTGAATCTGTCGCGGAGAAATTTTTCCGATTCGCAATTAAATTTCATGAACACAAAAAACCTACAGTTGTTTGAGATGCCTGCTTAAGAATAAGATAAGTTAAACACTAATTAGTATTTTACTTTCTCCGTTCGTTTTGTGGGCGCGGTAAGTACAAATATTAATTTTTATGAGTACCATTTGTGTGGCGTTTTTTTCAGGTATACAAGTAGTGTTTTATTGTTCAATTGAGTGTATAAAATACCTGAATAGGTATACTAGTATTTTTTAATTTGTTACAAATTTCTTGATAAAATAATTGCAGTCTATATGGTAAATTTGTGTGTGAGTGTTTGTTATTTGTTTGCGTTTTACCAAAAACAATAGACTCAAATTTCATTTTCTAACGCTTTAATTTAAATGTTCTCACATTTAAACTCGGAGAACACCGGAAGTATTCTAATCCGAATCTCAAAAGATTTTACGTCATGCTTAATTTCTTAATTCACCTGAATAATAGCGCTATTAGTAAATGACCGAATGAGATAAACAAATAGCTTTTTATTTTATAGTACCGTCAACCATGCTCGCATTTTTACATTAAATAGATAGTAGATTATTTTTAATTTACCTGTATTGAAAGCAATTTAATTAGAGATATAAATAATAAAAAAATCACTTTCTTCTGATTTACAATAAATGTATTATTTGTTCAAAAAAAATTATACTAGACTTGTTTCTAATTCGTGACTATTGTTTCCCCGTCTAGGCTTCTCAGCATCCTATCTATTAATTGAAAGTTTACGAATCAATGTACTATTAATTGCAAGGCGAGGTGCCCATTATACGTCGTATTTATTTGGCGCAACGAAGACCTGTTATTGTTCAAATAAAGATTTATTATTCGAGAAGAAAGTGAACGTAATATTATTTTCAATTATATCGCCGGAAGACCTGACAACACAACAACAAAGTCACACATTACGAAACAAAGAAAGAAGAATTTTCGTATATAAATTCACTCGTATTCCTCACCCCCCAAATCCGTTTGACGTCCAAATTTTCGCTGTCAAAATCACTGTACAATATGGAAGAATTACTCGGCCACATATCGAAAATAATATCGAACCACATAGCCATCCATTTGTATTCCTATCCCCATTTTTCCGTGGAAATTCTCCTAGCGGTAGCGCTATGCGTCTCCCAGCTGTTGCTCATCTTCGAGCTCAACGACATTTTCAAAAGAACCAACACCCGAGCCATCGAGAACCTGAGAATCCAGCACCCCCAAGCGCTGAAACAGATCACCGCCAACGGATCCCTCAACTCGCTATCCCGGTAACACAATTACCTTTACAAATAACGTTTCCATAATCATCCCTTGTATGAGCATAGGATTGAAACGCAAGTGTTCCCCCAAAAAATCGAAACCACCACCACTCGTCAATCCTATTACGCGCCGTTCAGCAGGCGAGCCGCCAGGAAGGCGAGCACCAGGTCGAACGTGGGCTGGCTCGTGCCCAAGAGGCGCTCGTCGATGTTGAACAACCCGCATTTGGACAGGGTGGAGCACCTGCTGGCGATGACGCCGAGCGACTACGTCAGGCAGGACAGGGAGCGCAAGGAGCGCGAAGCCGGCCTCAAGTCCTGCATACACTCGTTGACGTCGCTGCTGGAGCGCGCGCTGTCGGCCGAGTCCGGCCTGGAGAGCGAGTCGAAGGAGGCCATCAGGAGGAGCCTGATGAGCCTGAGGTCGAATTTCGACGGGCGGCTGTTCCACAATCATTTGTGGATTTCCAGTTCGGATTGCGGCGATGGGAAAACGGTTAAGCGATCTCGCGATGGTGATGATGGGGCCTCCGATTTCGACGAGTTCTACGTCGATAGAAGCTTCGAAGTAATTCGGGATGATAGAAGGAAACGTAATTGAACGTTGTTTGTTTCGGTGAGCAAAATTGTCCCATGTTATGTCCTTTGAAATAGTCCTGTTTCGACTAACTTTTGGTTTTAATAGAAATTTCCAACCAATGAATTTTTTAATGAATCGCGCTGTATATTTTATTATCGAAGATCTTGTCACAACCTGTCAGTAATTAATTTATATTCTATTCATTCATTGAGTGAATAAGGTCATCAACTATTTAGAATGGTTTTTAATCGGAACTGGAATCAAGAGACTGGTTTGGCATTTGTAAAAATGCAAAATGCAGATTCTAATCAGATTTATAATACACATTAATTTAATTTGATATCTAAATAAATGTGCCCCCTAAAGTAACAAATTGATTAATAACATCGCTCGATAAATTACATAACGTATGAATTGTTAGCTATTATTTTAAGTTAATTTCGTAATAATCTTAAGTATATAATTTTAGCGTGCGAGCAACTACGTTCATTAATAACGATAAACAGCCGTCGCTAATGCAATCAGTTGGAAATCAAATGAATCAATAATAATTCCTTACGTTCGTTTAATGGTTTTTTTCCTATTTTATAACCGGCCGGATGACCGCAATTCTCTTTACAACGCCGAATGAATTACTTTATTATTAACAATAGTTTAAAAATACAAGATAAACAACCGGGGAAAACAGTCTTCGATCTTTATCAATCGAACGGTTTGTTTGAATTTTTCCTCCTTATCTCATCGCTCTAATCAAATCGAGGAGGCTTCTCTAATTGCATTGACAGCTTCAATTAATGACCTGTCTATTAATCTAACATTACTCCTTATTTATATAGGAAACGGATGAGATATGTTTGGAGATTTTTCAAAAAAATTATTTTGAAAGTTTGCAATCTTCAACGAATTCATGTTTGCCCTGTACTTACATAGTTCCCAGTTACAAATCATGCACCACAGTTGGTCTGTTTCGAAATCAATTGAAGTTATTCATCAACCGTGCGTGCGTTTTTCCTCCTTCTCGCGTTGAAAAAACTAGAGAAAGCAAGTGGGTAATAAATCGATTGTCCGCCTACGGGAGGGAAAAAAATTGATTTAATGTGATCAATAAAGAGCAATGGAAAAAAAAGGCGGCGATGCTCCGAGGCGATTATACGATAATCGGAGATTATTTGAACGAAGTAATCGAAAAAGAGTGAAAGTGGCATAATCGGCATCTTTTATTTCGAAAAACGCGTAATCTCCTGCATCCGGTAGACTGTATATGTGCTGTGGTAAGTTCGATTGTTCGGCTACCAGACATGAGATGGAAGATTATTTCAATGTAAACTCTAGATAATGATGCAACTTAAAAGAATATACAATGAGTAAGATACACTTTGCCAGTTGAAATAGTTGGGAGAAAATCAATATCGATCTGTCAGTATTTATCCCAACTTGATATGGACATGAAAAGAAAGTTACACGTACAAAGCTTCATTAACTTCAACATCCGCCGTAAAAAATCGCAGTGATAAAAATAATTTTCGTCATCTCGACAAGCGCGCGCAATTAAATTTTATTCAAATCATCTGGGATAATTGTGACTTAAGATTATCTAAGTTAAACAGCCTTTTTTTCAGGTAATATAACAATACTTTCTAAGCAAATTTGAATGAGTGAATGTTGCTCGGCGCGAGATCCGTATCTTCGACGGCGAAACAAAAACGTGGGCTATCTCCTGAACAATTTAACGAAAAATTAGAATATCTTCTTAATCTGTTTGAGGGAATAATTTCGTTTTACGACTCGCGACGCGAAACTCGCCTTTGTTTCGCCGTGTTCTCATCATCTCTCTGTCAAAAATATACTTAACGTATACCCGTAACAATGGAAAGTACATACACCATATTTTATTTAATATTTTTCACCGGAATTGACGCGTTAACTGCTAAACTGTATGAATTTTTCCGTTCCCATACATGAAAGTAATGTGATCTTCGCCATTATCCAACTTCCAAGTCATAAAATTTTACCAAAATTCGCAGCAATTTACTTTATTGAAATATGTGTACTTTAAATGACGAAGACAGAAAAAAATGTTGTGAAGCGGAAATTTCTTAATACTTTCGCCGATTAAATTAGCCGGAGACTTTGGATGCTTCCTCAGCAGGAACGTGACTTTATTATTCGACGAAAATCACAGGAGTTTCGAGCGAATCGTGAGCGAGCAGCGAGTACTCGAACTACAGAGGAAGGAAAGCACACCCGCTGACACCGGTCAGCTTACAGCAGACGGGGAAGCCCCGTAAGTATAGACTTAATATAGCACAGACATGCGATGCACGACCTGGTGCCTCCGCCAAATTCCTAAAAAAAATTGTAATTATTTTTGTATCATCTCCTATACGCATCTTTAATAATTTGAACACTAGATGTATTGTACTTAATGTTTAATGTGACTCCATAATTTCTTAAGAACTATTTATAATTCGAAAAATTCCCATGCTAAATAGGACAATTATATTGCAAAATTATCCATTTCGCTGCGCTTTGAACTATCGTATTATTCCAATTAAATCGACACGTCTGTGAACTGAATTTTTCGAAGTTCATCAGTGGAAAACGTTTATACGCTTCATGGCTCGTGCACGCAAATTTTACCTCATTACTACGACTATTAGTTACTGTAATAACGACAATTGTGATTTAATTGTACGGTATTTTCATCTGCCAGCGGGATTGAGTGTACTTGCCTTGCAGGTATTATTCTAATTTTACGGCCATCATCGTATATTAGCTATAATTCCCTGCAGTTTGCAATGGACTCATCTTCGTCCCTTTTCATGATAAACTGCTCGCTTTATAATTAATCGGCTTTAATTGGTGGCAATTTCGACTGTGTTTTAATTGTTTAAGCGCGGAGAAACCTCCAGGAAATGTCAAACGAACTGGAAAACAACAACAGCCGATCTCCAAATGTCGCTGGGTGCTCGACAGTAAAAGGTCGGTCCGTGGAAAAGTGAAACTCGCGAATCTGTTATTCTGTTTCGTTACATCACACGTGTGAAATGAAAAAAATACGTTTATATAGAAAGCTACTTGTTTTTCTAATTCGTAAAAACCGACAAAAGATTTTACTGCCATGTAGGTACTTATTAGTAATTAGTTATTGGTTAATTAGGCTCGACACATTTTCATCAGAAGCAGCTAATTAAAAGTTATTAATGATTAAAAACATCGTAAATCCGGATGAAAAGCAACTAAGAAAGTCCATTAAAAATTGGGTGAAATTCATCAAAAGTAGCGAGAAAAATCAATAAAAATAGATAGAAACTCAACAAAAGTAGGGAGAAAAAAACAATAAAACTTCAGGAATTTTAATAGGAAACATTGAATTATTGTATACTAAAAGTATTACTAAAAATATCGTAAATCCAGAAGAAAAGCAACGAAGAAAGTCCACTAAAAATTTGGTAAAATTCAACAAAGGTAGGGAGAGGATAATAAAACTTCTGTAGTATCATAGGGGAACATTAAAATTAATATTTTTTACAATTCTATGGCCGTTCACTTTACTAGAGGGCTATTTCGTTTTCGAAAAAAAATGTACTTACCTATCTGGCAGATAAAATTTGCAATAATTCATTTCCGTCGAAATTGCTTTCTCCTTTCTTCGCCTTCACGGAGTACCTAAGGAGGAATTAGCAGACGTAAATGTCGTGACATTTTGCGCGAAGTGGATTAGGTTTTATGGTCCATTAATACTGACCGAGGCGATTTAAATTCCCGATAAATGGTCTGTTTTTTTTTAATTCCATTATAAATTAATACCTGTTTGCGTTTTTCGATGTAATTCCATTGCGAGAAATCCCAGGGTGTTGCATCTGATAAAAATAAATTTTATTACAGATATCTTATAGAAAATAAATAAAATTATATGGGTGTTCATACTGTGAGTGATATATCGATTTCCTATAGCCCTGGATTGTTTTTTTTCACACAAGAAAAACATTAACACACTTAATTTAAGTTTAAATTTCCGATTTCGTATGAAGTTGAAATACTAATGTACCACACTTTCGTTCTAATCGTGAAGCCATTTCAAACCTAATACACTAATAAATTATGCAGACGGTACATAAATAAGTAGGTGTGAAGTTTAACGAATTGGTAAACCTAAATCATAATATGTGAAGTAAATACCGCCTTCGAGGAGTTTATTGAATGCTGTTACTTGATTCCCGTCTAATAAATTGCCTTACTCGCTTTCCAAATTAATTTTGTAGCTAATAAATTATTTTTCCGCAAATTTAATCGAATCTTCCATTTATATTTAATAAAACTAATTATTTTTGTCTGTATTAATGTTTTGTTAAAATTGCTTTTCAATTAATTCGCACACGATTTAAAAACTGAATAGTCGAAGAGTTAACTGAATAATATGAATATGCAGTGTTTTTAATTCCTGATTTTTAGGACACTCTGTATTTTTATACATTTTTACGTTGTTTTCATGAATCAATAGTGCCTAACGCAATACTTTTTAATATTAGAGCCGCGCCATAAAAATTAACGATGGCTTTAACGTGAGATTAACCAATTAAATCGCCCGGTTTTCCTGCAAATCGCTCATAAAGTCGCAAACTTCGATTCGGCCGCCACGCAACAAAACCGTCAATTAACGATTTTAACGCGCGATTAACCGCCCGGATTTCTTGCATCGCGTCCTTGCATTGTGCCGGTCGAATCGGTATCGACCCGACGTCGAAGACGCCGTCGTCTATCGGACGCCGCGTCGCGCCGCCGCCATTTGTCATGCGCCGGTCGCGCATAACGAAAAAACGCAGTCGATTCGTGTGCATGTGGCGGACGGCGAGCCGATCAGCTGTCTCTTGTTATCGACGGAATTTCCTGCCGCAAAAACTCCATTCGACAATCGGCAGCAAACGCGAAATCGAAGGGACCTCTGCACCGGCGGCGGCGACGAGTGCTGGTGCCGCTGGCGGCGGGTCTGCTGGCGCAATTGACGTCCGCAATCGACATCTTCGACGGGGGCGGTCGATGTTCGGTGTTTTCGAGATGCTCCGAATCGGCGACGGGGTGATGGGATTGTTTTAGTGCGGGTTGAGCTGGACGGCAAAATGTGCGAGGAGTTTACCGAGGAATACGAGAGGAATGTCATGCTAAATGGTAAGCATTAGCGCACCCCGATTGTCCGGAATGTATGTTTTGAATAATTGTTTTATAACCTGTCTTACGCGGTATCACAAACGTAATTAAATTACGCCTGTAAAGGTATCACTTTGCAGTGTATATGTTGAAAAATTATTGCAAATATTTATTAGTTTGTACAC